GGGCAGGGCGTGCAGGCCACCCCCACACGTAGTAGGCCCGGGAGCTGGGGACTAACAGGCAGGACCAACCTCCGGACGGCCTGATGGGCAGGGGCGGCCTGGTGAGAAGGGCGAGGGCAGCCAGGCCGCCGTGGAGCCGGATGGGAAGTGGACCGAAGGCCAGTGTACATGGACCGGGCAGCTGGGTGAGATCCGCCGAGTTGGGGGGCTTCCAGACCAGCCCCTCCAGGAGGTGGGTGAGGCTGCGGGTGTCAGGATGTCGGCAGGTGCGTTATCGGACAGGTCCATACCGCCCTCACAGCCAGCCAGCCGTCCCTCTTCCAAGTGCAGCCCGTGGCCCTGCGCTGCGGAGAAGTGAGATGCCTGAGAGCCCAGTCAGCCGGCTCCCCTGCACCCCGCTGCCCCTCACAGTTGGCCCTGACCCGGCCCCTCTCTCGGTTGGCTGTAGGCTTGGACCTGCTGCGTGCAGGCAGTTCAGCAGCAGCGGCACCTATCCCAGCATCCCCCTCTCGTCTCCCCTGCCCGGCGTGCCCAAGCCTGTCTTTGCCACCACTGACGGCCAGGAGAAGTTTGAGACCAAAGTTACCACGCTGGACAGCGGGCTGCGCGTGGCTTCGCAGAATAAGTTTGGGCAGTTTTGTACCGTGGGCAGTAAGTACCGTCTGAAGGGCCGGCCGCCTGCCCCGCTGGGGTTTCTGGGTGGTAATTGGCATGGGATGAGTCTTTTACCGAGCAGGGGTCACTAGGGGTGGGGGCTGCCATTCCAGGTGGGCTCCTCACCCCACCCCTTCCTTCTTCCCTTTCTCTATCTCTAGCAGTCCCCCACCAACAACAGGCAGTTGTGTCTGGGGAGGGTAGAGTAACGCTTGTTGGGGCGCAGCAGGTGCTGCAGGGGGGCAGTAACAAGTGTTGCCGCGCTGCCTCTGTGAAGCCACCGTCACTGTCACAGTCAGCCCTGCGCTGCCACTGAGCCCCCTCGGGGGCTCCCTGCTGGTGGATATGTGGCTCACCCTGCTGGTCCTCTTTCTCTCCCCCCCGCCCCCCAAGTTCTCATTAATTCGGGATCAAGATATGAAGCAAAGTACCTCAGTGGAATTGCCCACTTTCTGGAAAAGTTGGCGTTTTCGGTCAGTGTCCAGTGTGCCACATGTGAGCCAGCCCTTGAGAAGGTTGGGTGGGTCGGGTTAGGGTGCCAACAGATGGCTGGGCTGCTCAGGTCTTGCCCACCCGGGATAGGCCTTGGCAGTAAAAGGCCCTGTTCTCATGGGCCCTGGAAGCGAACGGAAGCTCTGGCCTGAGGGGGCTTGGCTGTGTCCCCGCGGTGGGCCTTGGTTTACGCTTACCTGGCCATCTTGTACCTTCGATAGTCAACCGCCCGGTTTGGCAGCAAAGATGAGATTCTGCTCACCTTGGAAGAGCATGGGGGCATCTGCGACTGCCAGACGTCAAGGTACCAGCTCCCAGGGGGCTGCTCCACACACGTTCGGGTCAGTCTCACAGCTGCTGGGAGGTGGGCAGGCCAAACCCTGGTGGAGGAATGTGCTGTGCACAGCAGGGCACCACCAGTAGGGGGTGGGGTGCTGGGCCCCTAAGCTGGTCCTGGGGACGGTGGCATGCAGGCCGAGTGGAACCGATACGTGGAGGCTCAGTGCTGGCCAGCCAGGGCCCAAGTGCAGGTGCTCAGAGTCAACGTCAGGTCAGTACGTAATGGGGCGATGCGTTTAGGTTGTAGAAAGGTCTGTTCAGAACTGTTAGCTCCCAGCTCACGGAACAGACCCTCTGGCTCCAGCAACCCCCCACACACATACACCACACACACACATCCAGTTGGGCTAACTCAGCTTCAGCTTCCTGACCCTGAGCTCCCCAGCTCACAGTGCTGGACCCTCCAGGTCCTGTGTGCAGGGAGCGGGAGTCACCCCCATGAGCGTCACCTGAGTGCTCCCACAACGCTGGGTGCTGGAGGTTAACCTCTGCACCTGGGGCGCACGGGCCTGTAGACAGGTCCAGGCTGTGTGCTTCCTCCTGCCACCCCAGTGAGGCCACCCGCCTTGGGGAGTCAAGAGCCTGAGGCGTCAGCTGAGCTGGGGCCCCTCGGCTACTGCAGGCTGGGTGTCCTCACCTTTCAGGGACACCACCATGTATGCCGTGTCTGCTGACGCCAGGGGCTTGGACACAGTGGTGGGCCTGCTGGCAGATGTGGTCCTGCAGCCCCGGCTGACAGGTGCGGTGGGGACTGGGGACCGTGGGGACTGCGGTGGGCCGGTGGGTGAGCACTCTGTTGGAGGCCTGGGTTTGCCAGTGAATGACAGCTTATGACTGTTGGCCGAAGCATCCCTCCCTTTCTGAGAGCACTCTTACGAGGAGGCGTTCCCTGGACACTGGAGCCCCCCACCCCCCACCCCTCGGGGCTCAGGCACCTCTGCTGCCTTCCTAACAGGCAAGGCTTGGGGAGGGGGCGGTGTCGGCCTGGGCCCAGCAACCAGATGGGGCCGTGTCCCTTTGCAGACGAGGAGCTGGACATGACACGGATGGCCGTGCAGTTTGAGCTGGAGGACCTCAACATGAGGCCAGACCCCGAGCCTCTGCTGACCGAGATGGTCCACGAGGTGAGAGCTTCTCCCGCCCCCAGGGGCTGCTCCGGTGCCCGCCCAGTGGGGGGTGGGGGGTGGGCAGTGGGCTGCCTGCTGCTGCGGGCCGTCACCATCCTCGTTCTTCGTGCTGGCCACGGCCCAGGACACTGAGAGGCATCTTCAGTGGCTCTCTGGGTGGGAAGTAATCCTGGTGCTAGGACCCATCAGGCACTCTGAGAAAGAGGCGCTATCTGCCCCCAAAGGTCTAGAGGGGTACCCTGGAGCCAAGCCTTATCCTGCCCGGTGGACCGGCCACTGTGATTCCACGCTAGCCCGTAGCAGGGGTGACGGCATGGTCACTCTGTGCTGCCTCCTGGAGTTGCTACAAAGCCACGCCCGGCTTGTGGCATCAAGCCCCACCTGGGCTACAGCCCCACCTGTGGCTCCGGCTGCCTGCCTGGGGGCTAACTGTCCAGCATGGAGCACTCCTGGAAGGGTGGGGTCTGCGGGCCGACCACCAGGGAAGGGGGGGCAGGGTGAGTAGGAGTCCTTCTATGGGGACCTGTGTGCGAGGTGACCCTCCTGCGCCTGCAGGCTGCCTTCCGGGAGAACACGGTGGGCCTGCACCGCTTCTGCCCCTCTGAGAACATCGCCAAGATCGACCGGCAGGTGCTGCACGCCTACCTTGGCGCCTACTACAGGCCCGAGCGCATGGTGTTGGCCGGCGTGGGCGTGGAGCACGAGCGCCTGGTCCAGTGTGCGCACAGGCACCTCCTGGGGGCCCGGCCAGCCTGGGGGGACGCGGGGGGCGCAGAGGTCGACAGGTCGGTGGCGCAATACACCGGGGGCATCGTCAAGGTAACATGGCTGGAGGGTCCTCTGCACTTCTGGGCTCCTCTGAACCATGGCCCCCACCCACCCACACATACTGCACCCTGACAGCAGGGCGGGGGGAGGGGGCTGGGGGAGGGTGGTGGTGCACGCTTGCCACGGGCTAGTCGGGGCGCAGGCTAGCTGCCACTCACTGGGCCGTGTGTTTATGCTGGGCACAGCTGGAACGCGACATGTCCAGCGCCAGCCTGGGGCCCCGCCTGATGCCGGAGCTGACACACGTCATGGTGGGCCTGGAGAGCTGCTCCTTCCTGGTGAGCACGGCGGGCGGTCAGGCGGAGGGGACAGCTCTCCCCCACGTCTGCCCCCGAGAGCGAGCGAGCACCTGCTGTCTCCGCAGGAGGACGACTTCATCCCCTTCGCTGTGCTGAACATGATGATGGGCGGGGGCGGCTCCTTCTCCGCCGGCGGCCCCGGGAAGGGCATGTTTACCAGGCTCTACCTCAATGTGCTCAACAGGTGGGGCCGCTGGGGCCACAGGCCACACGCTGTACGGGCACCAGGGGCCTGTGTGCATGTGACTCAGCGCCCTGTCTCCCTCAGGCACCACTGGATGTACAACGCCACGTCCTATCACCACAGCTATGAGGACACGGGCCTCCTGTGCATCCACGCCAGTGCAGACCCCCGGCAGGTGAGGGGCTGCTGCGCCCAGACCTGCCACCACAGTCATTCTGACGCACAGCGACCAACTCTGGGCAAGGCTACACTGCTGGGACTTCTAACAGCTGACCTTGTAGGGAGCAGCCCCAGGGCAGACGTTACACTACCTTGTTAGCCTCTGGGAGAGCCCTTGTGAGCCAATCAGCAGCCAGGGCCCCAGGGCCCCAAGGGGGCACGAAGTCCCAGGGCGGATGGTGCCCACCTGCTGCACCCATGGTGTCTTGCAGGTCCGAGAGATGGTGGAGATCGTCACAAAGGAGTTCATCTTGATGGGCGGAGCTGTGGACGAGGTGAGTCACCTGTGGAGGTGCCAGGCTGCCCCTCCCCCTTCCTCTCTGGGGGCTCCTTTCTTTAGGGCCGCCACGTGCTTGCACATGTGGGCAGCAAGAGGCCAGAGCCCTGGCGGAGCGGGTGCCTTCCAGGGATGGGTCTGGTGCAGATGGATGGCATCCGTGTGCCCCCGAGGCTCCCGGGTCAGCGTCGTGTGTGTATTCACCTTTGGGTGGAGGAGGAGGAGGTTTCATGCGCACATGAGATCCTTGGTGATGCCCCTGTTCCCTGAGAAGCCTTGGCTTCCACTGGTGTCTTGGGCAAATGCCACCCTCCCCTGCGGGGGGCTGGGCCTGCCCCCAGTTCCTCTTCCCAGATCTGTGGTGCTGGTCCAGCATTGACCAGCGGCTCCCTCCATGGGCCTGGTCAGCGGGACTCATGGGCGGTCCTGGTGGGCAGGCCTGGTGATGGCCCAGGGGGCGCAGCCCTGGCCCCACTGGAGAAGAAGGTGGGTGGTTGGCGGCTTCAGGGGAAGCTGGGCTGGCACGCCCGCTGGCCTCCCTCCAGGGTAGGGCCGCAGAGGTGCTGCCGGTACGCTGCACCGTCACCCGCTGTCCCTGGCGGCGACCCTGGTGAGTCTCGCAGCACCCTTCGCTGCCCGCAGGCAGAGCTGGCACGGGCCAAGACGCAGCTGTCGTCCATGCTCATGATGAACCTAGAGGCGCGGCCGGTCATCTTCGAGGACGTGGGCAGGCAGGTGCTGGCCACCCACTCCAGGAAGCTGCCCCACGAGCTGTGTTCCCTTATCAGTGAGTGCCTGCAACTCCTGCTGGGCAGTGTGCTGGGCCGCCGTCCACAGTGTGCCCCAGTGACCCCCCTCTGCCCTCTGCCAGGTCACGTGACAGCAGATGACATTCAGAGAGTGGCTTCCAAGATGCTCCGAGGGAAGCCTGCCGTGGCCGCGCTGGGCGACCTGAGTGACCTGCCACCCTATGAGCACATCCAGGAGGCCCTGTCCAGCCGAGATGGGCGCCTGCCCAGGACGTACCGCCTCTTCCGGTAGCACGCGGCGTGCCCCAAGGGTTCCCCAGAGTGCCACCAACTGCACCTCTGCCCAGGCATCAGCCCGTTCCCGCTGCCACCCTGCTTCAGAACCGGAGCCTGCTCCCACTGCCCACATCCCCTCGCTCTTGCCCCCAGGACTGACTGACTGCCTCCCATCATGCTCTGGCCGCACTAGCCGGGCAGCAGGAAGGCACCATGCTGCTCCCTGCTGGCACAGCCAGGCCTGCAGAGGTGAGCGCTCTTGGTGACTGCTCCTGGCTGAGGGGTCGGCCCTGCCCACTTGGCTGTGTGAGGCACACTGTGTGAGGACGGATGCGCAGGCACCTACTGCACGGAGCTCGTCTGCTGTGGCCGAGAGAAGTGAGGGCCAGCCGTCCCCCTGGCAGCAGGCGGCAGGGTGGCCCACGGTGGCGTGTGTAGGGCGGGAGATGCCAGGGCTCAGGCTCAGCAGCCCCGTGTGGTAACAGGTGTGGGGCAACCCCCTGAGCCCCAGGACTCCATGTGGAGCACCTGGGCCGGGGCTTGCACCACTCGCTGCAGGGCAGGGTGTTGAATAAACTCGCTCTGTCGTTGCACCTGGGACTGTTGGTCATCTGCCCGGCCTGTGGGACCCTTCAGCACCCGCTCCTGCTCTGACCAGTCTGACTGCGTCTGGTGGGCTGGGAGGAGTGGACACCTCAGGGACAGGGAGCCCACTCAGCCTGGCATTGTCGAGGTCCTGCCTGATATGTCCAGGGTTCTAGCAGCCAGCTAACTGCGCCTTGCCGGCCCATCACTGGTGCAATGCATCCATGTGAGAAACTCCCTCACCAGTGCCTCCTACAGCCACCATCGCCCGCAGTGCTGTCTGCTCCTTGCTCCTGTCTCACCGGGTCCTGCAGCCCTCTGCTTTTCTCCTGAAGCCCCGTTCATCCTCCCAGCGCCACTGCCTGCCTCTCCCCACAGCAGTCTCCTGGTCTTGACCCCTGGGCCTCTCCAGCCTGCACACCTATCCGTCACTTTGGCCTCCCTGGGCTCTTGCTGCTGTCCATTGCCGAAGACCTGCCTCTGACCTGGGCCGGAGTGACCGCCACTCCCTCGAACAGCATGGCCAAGTCATCGGAGAAACATTTCCCACTGACAGACTGGCTGGCAGCGGTCACTGGAACCGTGCCCCACGCACCGCCCCGCAGCTCCAGCAGGCCCAGCCTCGGTGGGTCCAGCGCCTTCCGCCCGTGAACTGCCGAAAGCACTCTCCCTGGGAGCGGCACCAACAGCCACTGACTTGAGTCGGAGAGGGCCATGCCCAGCGGCTGCTTCACCCTGCTCACCGGGCTCAGAGTGGGACCCAGGGATGGGTGCTGGGCTTGGGGCCGTAGGCTTGGGCTGCCGTGAGCACTCTGACCTTGACAGCCAGGAGCCGTCCGAGGGGTGGGTGTGCCAAAGGCTCGTTTCTAAGAGTTGGTCCTTGACCAGAAAGAGTTCAGGTTCAATAGATGCCTTTATTTAAAAATATAAATATGGAAAAATAAATACCTTGAGAGACTTATGTTGGACACCCAGGTTTTAGCCATCAAGGCTGGTTTCGGGAGGGGCTGGGCGGCTGTTAGGAGCGCCAGGCCAAGCTGCACGGCGGCTCGGGACAGCATGGGAGTGCCTCCGCAGGGTCCCAGGCACCAACACAAGCTCCTACCTCCCACGGGCCCGAGGGCTACCCCAGTGGGAGCCTAGCCAGGCCCCAGGAGGGTGGCTGCCTCGCCTGTGATGCCTGCTCTGCTCAGGTGGGTTCCAAGCCTGGGGAGTCCTGAGGTTATGCCTGCCGCCCCCCCAGGTGCCCTGCAGTCCTGCACTGGACGTGGGTCTGCTGGGGGCTGCAGGTCCCCTCGGCTGCAGCTGCCATGACTGCCTCAAAGCTTGTTATGATTGGGGCACTGCCACACATGCACGTAGAGGCTTCAGGGGCCTGCTCGTGAGACCACCTCTTGGAGACACACCATGATAGCCCTGCTGGGCTGGAGAAGAGGGCATCCAGGGAGGGCTCAGCAGGGCCCCATGGCGTCAGTGCTTCCGCAGGGCTTGGGCACCCGCTGGACGAGTCAGCCGCCCCATGGCATCGGCAGGATGAGGCACCCACAGGAGGGCTCAGTGAGCCCCGCCCCCAGCTCAGGAAATGGTGCAGACGGCACTGGAGCTCTGGTTCTTCAACGGCTGCTGCCTCTGCGTCTCCTTGGAGATGCGCCTCCGGATGCCCAGGAGGTACAGGTCTCGGTCGAACCTGCCGGCGGCCAGTGGGATGCTGTGCACAGAGAGGATGCTCACTGTCCGCCCTCCACCCCCGCCCCCAGTGCCAGCCCGGTCCCAATCCTTGCAAGGTCAGGCCTGGAGCCACTAGTCTCCCCGCCCCCCGCAAAGGTGCACACCACACTGGGACCCCGGGACCCAGTGCCCTCCCCTGGAACCCGAGAGCGGCGCTGGGCACTGACTTGTCCCTGCCGGGCCGCACTCTGACACGGAACAGGCCATACACGGGGCGGTGGTCAGACGTCCTGATGCTGGTGCAGGCCGAGTACCTGACCGGGCAGATGTCATCCTTGTGCCGGCTGCGGTACACCACCCGGTCCTGCAGGACAACGGCGCCGTGAGGCTGCCAGCCTGCCCTCGCCACACACCTCTCCCTGGAGGCCCAGCCAGCTCTGCCCCACCCCCCAGGTTCCCCCCAGGCTGGTTGCTACACCCCAGGTGGCCAGCATCCCTGGCTGGGCTCAGATCTGGGCCTTGGAGGGTGGAGGGGGGGATGGCACGGTAGGAGCCTGCTGTCCCCTTTCCCAGGGACAGGGCTCCTGCAGAGGGCCGAGGGCAGCCGCAGCCTGGGGCCCCCTGCCGGGTGCTCACCGTGTAGGAGGGCGTCCTTTGCTTGGAGCTGCTGTCGTAGGTGTCCTTGCCCACGTCCAACTTGTACGAGGGCAGGAAGTGGATGGCAGGCTCCTGAAAGCCCTTAAAGACGGCTCCTGCAGGGCCACGGACACAGGGCTCGGACCCCGCCCGCCCCGGTCCCAACCCCCGCCCCCACCCAGGTGCCTCCACCGGCCTCGCCGCATCTCCCTGGAGAGCTGGTCGTGCTCCAGCAGGGCTGACGTGTCCACCTCTGGCTTCTGGCCCAGCAGCGCCTCCACGGCCGCCCGCCCGCTGCTCAGCCGGAAGTTGAAGTCCCCGAACCAGAAGACCTCATCGAAGCGGGTGGTGACGTCCACTGGGATGCGGGAGATTCATGAGTGCTGGTGTCCACCCCCCGCCCCAGACCCTCAGGGAGCAGGGAGACTCAGGGTGCTAGCCATGGCCGTGTGCGCCCAAACTCGAGGGTGGTCTGATGCCAGCACAACACCGTTCCCCAGGCCCCTGACCCCCACGGCCTTGTGGGCATGTTTGCCCACCAGCTGCCCACACCCATGCTGCCACAGGGTGACCAGGTCTCCTCTGGCCAGTGCTTCTAGGGTTTTCGGGTCTATGCTCCCGGAGTTCTAGACACTGCTCTCCCCACCGGTCAGTCCCCAGCAGTCGGGGGCTGTGCAGCGGCTCACCGGGGCTGGAACGGTAGGGGTTGGTGTCTGGCACGCTCTTGGGCAGGGCCAGGGTCTGGATGGTCCGAGAGTAGTCCTGGAGCCGCTCCGCCACCTTCCCTTCTCCAGCTGCAGAGACAGATGGGGCGGGGGCTCCAGGGCAGGATCGTAGAGGGGGGCTGAGGGCCCCAGTGACTCCAGCACCCTGCCGGTAACTCCCTGCCTCCACAAGGGCTCCCTGCCAGCCCTTGGAAGCTCGCTGCCCTGTGACAAGGTCAGGGCTTGCCTGCAGCCCTGGGGGCCCTCGTGGGGGGTTGGAGAGGGCTGAGGGCAGAGGGGTGGGCTCAACTGCATGGGAGCAGGGGTGAATGGGGACACCTGGTGGTGCATTCCCGCTCGACCCCAAAAGAACACAGCTGGGAAGGGACTGTGCAAGGGTGATTCTCTGAAGCTCACAAGGGCACTGGCACCATGCACAGGGCGGGAAGGCTGGGAGCCCGCGTGCAAAGAAGTGCTCCTGTCATCATTGACCTGTGCGCGCCCGGGAGGCTTTGGAAAGTCCAAAGGGGAAGCTCCCTAACTGCTCTGTCCACAGGTCCACAGCTCTGGGCTCCTTGTATACATGCGTGTCTGCACACAGATGCATGTGGATTCGTGTGTATGTGCATATGCACATGTATGTGGGCATGCATATACGGGCATACAAGGGGGTGCCCCCCCAAAAAAAAAATGGAAAAAAGCTCTGCTGGGCAGAGGTCTTGTAGTATACATTTTCTCCTGCTAGGCGAGCATCGAGCAACTCACTCTGAAGTAGTGCACCCAGTGACATCACCTGGGAAGGTTCTCTCTGGTTACAGTGAATTTTTTCGTAAAAGCAATCTCACTCGAACCTGTTTTTGGTGATGGCCGATTTAAGACAACAGCATGTGGCCATAAAATTTTGTTTCCTGCTGGGAGGAAAAATGCCGAGAAACTGTTGTGATGTTGAGCACAGCTTACAAGGACAGCACTGTGGGAAAAACTCAAGTGTACAAGTGCTTTTCTCATTTCTAAAAAGGCGACATGTCAACTGACGACAAACCTCGTTTTGGACATGTCAGCTTCCTGAATGGATGGAGAGGTGGACGTGCAGCACTGGGAGTTCGTTCTGCCAGGCCAGACTGTTCAGCAAGCCTTCACCCCAGAGGCTCTGAGAACATGGTGTAACACGGTGTGACCAAACAGGCCTCATGGGCGCAGACGGGGACTGGCTTTGCCACCAGGACAGTGCACCTGCGCACGCAGCCATCTCAGTGCACCAGTTTCGGGCAAAAACCAGCATGTCTCTCTTGTTCCATGCACCTTACTCACCTGACCTCACTCCGTCTGACTTTTTGCAACATGCAATTTGACAATGTAGTAGAGGTGAAGAAAAAATTAGGGAGTTGCTGTCAGCCACGCAAGCAGATGAGTTTGAAAAGTGTTTCCAAGAATGAAATCATAGATGTCACAAATGTACTAGTGTAATGGAAGGTGATAAGGTTGTTCATAAAAAAAAAAAAGTTTCCCCCCCAAATTCTGTTTTTTGGGGTGGGGGCACTCCTCATATGTGCACGTATCTGTACATGAATATATGGGCATGTGTGCACGTGTGCGTGTACTGTATACACACGTGTGCATGTATCTGTGTATTTGCTCTTGTCCGGTGGTTGTAGAACAAACACTGTGCCGTCGCACAATTACATGTGGCCCGATGCTGCAGCCATTGTGTCCGTCCATCTCACTGGGGGAGGGCTGCTTCCTCTTGGCTGCTGAGCCTCCACTTGACATCACATGATGTCTTTCTCCAGGGACCGGCCTTTCCCGACAGCATCTTCGCAGTCCCTGAGAAGACGTCTCGCCAGCCTCACTCTGAGGAGCGTCTGAGACGGACTTGCTCCATCTGCTGACATCGTGGCACCCAGCGCTGGCACGCAGGCCTTGTGACTGGGAGGGGCCTAGCAGGTGCCGACTCTTAGCAACGGGCGTACTAGAAGGAGACAGCACCCATCCTCTGCTGGGCGCTTTCCCCATTTTTGCTGCCCCTCCACTTTTCCAGGGGCATCTCCCCGACAGCATGTCGCTGTGGGTGAGCTGAAGTCTCGCCGTCCTCGCCCCGGAGGAGCACACGGCCCTGCTTCCCCCAGGACCGAGGTGCTCTCTTTGGCTTGTCCACGGACTTCCAACAAGTATCTGCCATCGAGACCAGAGTTCAAATGCACCGATTCTTTGTCAGGCTCCTTATTCCGTGTCCAGCTTTCAGAGCAGGGGAGGCAACAGAAAATGCCAGGGCTCTGAGGTCAGGTGTGCCCAAGTCCTCACAGGGACACCCTTGCTCTGCACTGCTGTGATGTTGGAAGCTGTCACTGGCTTTTCAAACAGTCCCAGGGCCCCCCTCCCCGCAAGTGACCAGGTTTCAGCAGAACTTACAGACAACAAAGAAGGAACAGGCTGTCCACGTTGGCAGAATTGGCCACTGAGAAGCCCACGGAGAGCGTGGACAGCCTAGTGAGCAAAAGCAGCACGTGGTCCGAGATGGGGCCAGAAGAGGAGCCTGTCCCTCGGGGCCGGAAGGCACTCAACCTACACGGGGAAGAGCTGCCTCTCAACGCAGCGCCCGCCCCGACGCCGTCGTTTGCGGAGGGGCAGCGCTCCGAAGGAGCAGAGACAGCTGCAGATGTGGATTAGTAACGAGAACTTGTCCTACGGCCCAGCTCCAGGGCTGTCTGGTCCGCACACAGATGGAGGAACTGCACTGGACGCACACAGCTCCCAGACAGCGCGCCTGACGGAACCACGCGGTCTCTGCTTGCTCCACTCCGACGGCCCCTCTTGGTCCACGGACAGGTCTCTCTGGGCAGACAGTGCCCATTCTTCACCATGTTGGTCCTCGTGTGTGACAGCCGCTCAGCTGAATGCCCTTCTCTGGCAAGGGCCCGCCAGGCATCTTTCTGGGGGTCTCTGTGTCCCGCTCCTTTCTGAAGGCAGCTAGTCTTCCTGGCGGCTCCTGGCTGACACCGGCTGTTGTTTTTCAACAATAAGATCTTTGGAAAAAGCCGGTTTCTGGCGGCTCTTCGACGAGACTTAACTTGATGAGACACTAGTGATGGACGGAGCAACGCGCCGCCATCGAGCCGATGCCGCCGCAGTGGCCCCACGAGACAGGGCAGCACTGCCCCTGCGGGCTCCCAAGACGGTCACTGTTGACGGGAGCGGAAAGCTCTGTCTCTCCCACGGAGCGGCGGCAGGCTCCTCGGCGCTAGGGTTGACGTTCAGGAGTGGCCGCGTTCTCTGGGCCATCTTTCCTGGGAAGGGCAGGGCCCAGATGGCCGGCAGGCAGCTGTCTTCCTGCTTCTCGGCGCGGGTGGTGAGCTGCTCGCTGCCAGCCTGTCGAGACGTCTGAGCCGGGGTGCCACATCAGTGCTGTCAAGCTTGACTGCTTCCCTGACACCGTTGGCACTGGCCCGGCTCTTCCTGCTCCGTCGGCATCCGCGTCGCTCCAGTTTGCCAGGGCCCGAGTGTCCGCTCCTCAGAGGTGCCAGTGTGTGAGCGCTCCCTGTGGGCTGCCCAGCTCCTGTCTGCACGTGTCCTCCCGAGCCACCCTCTGAGCTCCGTCCAGCTGCTGCCGCCTGCACATGACCTTCCCCCAACCCCTCTTGAACCACACGGCCCGCCGCACCTCTAGACTCCACAGGGCCCTGGTGCCTGTAGCCCCTCGCCACCCCCAGTCCAGGACAGCTCCATCAGCCCGCTCACCTCTCGGCTGCGAGCGAATGCACCCCAGCAACCCTGCCCCCACGGCTCCGCCGGGACTCACAGGTGAAGTGGGACGTGATGAAGAGGAAGGAGGTGCCGAAGAAGGTGAAGCTGGCGCCCAGGGCGCCCTTGGTCTTGATGTGGGACACGATGCGGGTGGTCACCGTGGCGCTCTCCACCTCTGCGTGGGAGGGACACCTGGAGCTGCCGGGCCATGCCCGATGCCCACCCCACCACCACCACCCCGGCCCTGAGGCCTGCCATCTGCCGCTGGACCGGCACTACCTGAGCAGAACCAGATGAGGTCCCTGCGGAGGAAGACAGACAGGTAGAGCACGCCGTGGGCTGCCGAGTGGAGCAGCACGTAGTGGGGGCCCAGGGTCTCCTGCAGGCAGGCCTCCCACTCCCGCCTGCGGAGGAAGACAGACAGGTAGAGCACGCCG